ATGATCAGCAAGGTAAAATTTACAAAAATGAACATATTGGAAATTCATGTATTAACTTCTTATAGAAAAAAACGCTAACGCTAGGTTTAAAGATATTGACAAATATAATGCCTACCCTTGTTAAAATGAGCATAGAGCATGGCATAAAAGAATTATTTCTTAAATTTAATGATTTTAACCGTATGTTCATTATTGTAGACTCCGTATGTTCATTATTGTAGACCAATCGATTGAAACTAAACTTTGCAATTCAAATTTTGACAATTTTCCACAATATTAAATGTGATTTTTTACATCTTAAAACGAGGTACCAACATGCCAAGGTTTATCTCTTTTTAAATCTCAACCATTTTCCAAACAATAGCTGCAGATTTGAGCCGGGTTTATAGTAATTCCGCAGAAGCAGATCGGAATCATTTATGACGTAGACAGTAATCGTTCTAATCGTAATCATGTTCATTGACCATAACGATGATGAAAGCACATCATATAATGACGTTTCGACATCATATGATGAAGTAAACCAAACCACATTATATAAGGTTACAAGCACGTAACATAATGACACAACCACATCATATAAAGATGTTTGTACATAATATAATGGAAAATGCACATCATATAAGTATATTTGCACATCATATAAGTATATTTGCACATCATATAAGGATCTTTGCACATCATATAAGTACATTTGCACATCATACATGTATAAGCATATTTGCATATTATATAAGGATATTTACACATCATATAAGTATATATGCACATCATATAAGTATGTTTGCACATCATATAAGGATGTTTGGACATCATATAAGGATAATTGCACATAATATAAGGATATTTGCACATCATATAAAGGTGTTTGCACATCATATAAAGGTGTTTGCACATCATATAATGACAAGTGCACACCATATAAAGGTAAATGCACATAATATAATGAAAATGGTCATAACAAGACAGTGTTGGCGTTCCATAGGCAGTCTTCGGAGATCATCTCGATAGTTAATTAGATGACTTCTAGACAAAAATTCACACGAAATGTTGATACATATTATCGAGTCCATTCATTGTTAATTGTTTATTTTAGACTTTTGAAATTTTTATATACGTTTTAGTATGTTATAAATCAAATATGAGAATTTGAGTCAAATCGGTGAACATGAATTTGACAGCTAAAGGTCCTTTAAGTAAAATGCCTGTAAATGAATACAATTTAATTTCTAACAATGAAGAAAAGTAATTAAAAATATTTGTTTAACTTGTTAAGGAAATGGTCGTTTGAACTGTATATCTCTAGTCATAAAACACATATTAATTGAAAGTTAGAAACATAATTTAAAAATTCTTGGCTTTCAAATATTTAGTTTTGAGCGTTCCTGCTTAAAGAAATTCTAGAAAAGTGTTTCGGATGTTCCTCTTTTTCTTATTATAAAAATATGTGGAGTAGGGGTATATTATAAAGTAACATAATGTTTCTTAATCCGATATTTTTGTAAAAAATATATACATAAGTAAACAAATACCAAGTTGGACAATTAAAAACAATCTGTTGTAGAAAGAGTCGACACCATGGTCAAAAGATCAAATACGAAAAGAAGAACACCTGTCCACAAAAAACTACACGGAAAACTAAAGACTTACAAGCACCAGCCCCATCAAAAATCAGTGTGAACTCGAGTGTTTCAGAAAGGTAAGCAGTTAATACTCAACTAGACGTGACACTTATCGTATTACCATTGATAATAAAAAAAAAAAAAACCCGTGATACGTCTCATTTGGTGATGTATATGTTAGTGGCAATAAGTGAAATTAGGCATTAAGTTTAAATCCTAGGCAATAAGCTAACGCCTAGGCAGTAAATAAATAATGTTAGGCATTACTCTTAAATCCTAGGACTTAAACTTAAATCCTGAAAATTATGTCTAGGCATTAATGTTAATGCCTAAAATAAAAATGAGAGTAAAAAAAAATATTCAAAGTTGAAATACATTTGGTACATAATAAAATAATAAGAACTGAAATTTGAATGACAATTACCTGAAATAAAATCATTAGAAAAATATTGATATTAAAACTCATTGAATAAACCTCTTAAAATATATGTAAACTTGTTGGGTAGTTGTTTCATTGACAATCATACCAGATCTCCTTATTTTTATATAGATATAAAATTGTATTGAAATTTATTTGTTACTACTTGGTGTGCAGCTATGGCACTGACTATTTTATGTTTCTAGCATTTGCACCTGTTGATCGTCCAATACATTTGCGTAGAGTATAATTCTTTTGCATATGGACGAATTAGATTCCAATTGACCACTTTCTTAATAGATGATAATCCCTCATCATTTCAGTTAGCATGTCATGAATATTTCCGTTTGACCTTTCAAACTACCCTGTGTTTAGGGAGGTATTAGCTTCCTGTGAACAATAACTAGTTCTGGCCACATTAGCATTCATTCGGATATAGCCAAAGCTGAAAATTCATGACTTTTGTCACCTTGCTGTATATGTGGCACACAAAATATTGTGAAAACATCAATTAAATTAAAAGCCACCTTTGAAGCACCTTTTGACGTAAGAGCTTTAATAATTTAAAATTTTGTTAGGTGATCTTGGTACACTAAAAGACAATATAGTTTCTATCTGACTTTGATTGGAAATCCATTAAATCAACCTGTCCTCTGGATAACATGGGTTTTAGTTCTACTCCTTTCTCTGTGCACTTTTTATCAAGTTACAATTTTAAAGAAGAAATAGTACAATGGAATCATGGATAATGTTTGCAAAGCCATTTTAAGGTTGTTAAATTATACGGTCTTAAAATACATACAGTTCCTCTAGAAAAACATAAACTTTGGAATTTCCCTCATCATTCTCTTTTACTTTAGTAACCAGTCTTTCAAACCTCCAATGGGAAAAATGTTATGCCATTTTTAGTTAATATAGCCTATAACTGCCTTCTTTACTGGTGCCAAAAGTTTAATATTTGCCATTCATTGTTCATTGTACTTTTGCCTTAGGTATATGATCTTTGTTTTCCCTGAGTCAAATTTATATTCCGCAAAGATTAAAGAAATTTGTTGTCGTTTAAATGCTAATAATCCAGATTAAGAAGTGAAAAAGACAAGATGGGTATTAAAGAAAATTTATATATTCAATAAAACCAATGGAAAGGTGATGTGACTGGCAAAATTCATATCTACAGTTGTCTATTTGTGACCAGCTCAAACCGGCTCGACCAGTGAAGAGTGTTTTTTCTTAAGAAAATTTTCAGATAGAATCTTCAAATCCCCCTTTTCCAGTAGATACAATTACTTGTTTAAAACTCATTATTTTTGCATTACCACAAAGAAATATGAATAAGTTCTTCTTTGAATACGAAAAATTGAAGATCTTTTAAATGAATTTATATATCAATTTTTGGAATATAATTGTTAAAATAGTATTTCAACATGTATTTGGAAGATAAAACAAATATCCCAAACTCAACTTATTGCCTGAAATGATGTTCAGTAATAGGTTGAATATTCTTCATCAGATTTCAGGAAATTAGCTTAATGCCTGAAAATTTCAGGCAATAACTTATTGCCTAGGATTTAAGCTTAATGCCTAATTTCTCTTATTGCCGCTAACATATTTAATGAAAGGGGACGGAATTGGCTGTGGGAAATGGAAATTGTCTGGTCATTTGTCATATTTCATAACGGCAATTTACAGCATGATGGCGACCGTAAAACTTACGAAGAGATATAACTTCATACTTTCCATTAAGAACCGTTGTTTTAATATCGTCCTTGTATGCAGCAACCCTTTACCAAGGATCGTTTTATACTCGAGTTAGTCCCAATTTTGAATTCAGAAATCGATATGATTAGTGATCCTCTATCAATTTATGGTAGGGTACATCATTTTGATGATTATTTCAAAATATTAAGACGAGGAAATGAAAAAATTGGAATTCCCAAATATAAGCTGACTTGCATACTAACAATGTTTGCAAAGTTAACACATGGATTGAAGAAAAGTTCTACTTTTCACTTCAACAGTTCAAAAATTAACATGTTGAAAATTCATCATAATTTTTGTTGCAGTTTATACTATTAAATCACTAAAGTGAAAGGAAGACATTTATTATATGTAATAACATTTATTCTATATTTTATATTCATGTACAATATAAATGTAGCTATAGAGTGTAAACGTCAGTGCATTAGCGATCGAATTGGTCATAGCAAAGACTAATTTTGATAAAGTGAGAAGTGATTAAAGGTAAGATAATATATTTACAATTACTGAAATAATCAGTGAATACAGTAGGGGTCTCATCTAGCGTCGGTCACCAGTTTATAAGACCAAATTTAATGTTGTAAGTAAAGTCTATTTCAGTTCTATATATCTTCAAAAACAAATTTTCAAAAATCAAAATTTCATATGTGGTAACTGAATTTATATCCCATATTTTCCTAATTTTTATATGAGCTCTGACAACTTTTGACAGAATTTTTTGCCAATAAATAAAACAGTCGTCCATTAGGTCTATATGGTAAATATGTATTTCCCAGAGAACCTGTACACATGGAGGTGCAGTTTATTTCCATAACAGCCATTCAATTGTCATTAACAGTATCATTTGGAAGTACCCTGCAATTGACCAAGATGATCTCCATTCGTATTTAAATTATGTTGTTTAGAACCATGAATAGAAAACATGACCAGTTGCTATAACGGTCAATGCATTCACTCTACTACCCTTTATTATATCTTGTTCATTTTTAACATAAAACCTAATGGACAACTTTTTACTTACTAAAGAAGACACTCTTAAATTTATTGTCAGAGGTCTTCTACTACGTCGACAAATTTACACTGCTAATAAATGAGCATTAAAGTTAAAAATCAGATTTTTTAACAAAAAAACAAATGTTTTAAGTTCCATCTTAAACGGACTTTATTTTATACAAGTGTTTATTTGGATGTGATAAAATTACCGTTTCTTTCCTCCTTTTCACATGTTGTTGTATATTATTGTCATCGTTCTCCTCTTCAGGTACAATATTATCACAGTCAGTTTTAATTTTCTTTATGGTTTGTTCATCTGTTAGTGAGGTTAACTTTCTACGCTTTCTTATGGATACTGTCTGTACTATTTTCTGAAAATTTGATGTTGCAATTAAAGAACGATAACTCGAAATTTAAGCTTTTAAAATAATGAAGTTTTACCTCTTAAACGTGATTATTTAATAAATAAGTGTGCCTGTTTGTATTTTGCAACAGGTATTCTCGTCAGAAGTTACATGTATCTCTATATAATAAAACGAGGACATTGTAAATTTAATTACATACAAATATACTTAAGTAAGCTACTTTAACTGACTTGTGAAAGCAAAACATTACTCAGGAAAAATTTACATGGAGTTTGTGTTCACTCTATAAAATAGATTTTTGGCATTTATCGATTAGCAGGATATAATGTAAAATTACATTTCAAAATCCAAACGTACAACTAGACGTTCTGCGAATAACAGTCAATCAACCCAAACATACTTGTCTTTACGGTCAATTTAGTAATAGTAAGTGCTTAAAATGTTACCTCGGCTTGGTTTTTATGTATTTCAATATCTTCTGAGCCGATTGTTACACTACTTGCGACCATTTCCTCTAATCTGTATTGTGACTCTCTTAGTGTTGTGATCTATTTCAAATTACACCTATACAGTAAAAAATACGAAAAGATATATTTTAATTTGATATTGTGTTATTTTAGTCTTCTATAAATCGTTAAATTAACATTGCAACAATTATTACAATAAAAACTTACCTCACTAAAATTAAGGAAGTTGACACATTTATATCCTCAAATATAAAAACACACAATACAAATGTCAGTTTCCGATATTCTAAAAATAGATTTGACTGTTACTTTTTTTAACATGATGATTGCTTTTTTTACCAAAAAATATATAATACTTATTTATGGTCCGCTGAAGTCAAACAAAAACTAACACAAGTTATGATCATGATGATGATGCAGGCCACAGATGTGATAGTTCATGTTTCAAAACCAATCATATCGAAAGATACATGTATAAAATTGCATACACTACAATTATAAGTACCAATTGTGAATTTAAAGATACAATACTTTTAGTACAATCTAAACCCATAAGCATATTATGTTACAAGTGAAAAAGGCAAATGTCATCAATTATTAAAATGGAAATTTTTGAAAAGTCGATCAATTTCGAGTTATCTCCCATTGACTATAAATTTGTTAATAATAGTGTAACATCTCAACTTTTGTGAGCAGATAGTGCCACGACGTATGAAGCTCTTATGGAGCTGAAAAGGCTGCCCTACAGTTAACCTGCACCAACCATCATCCTACTAATACAAATGATAAAACTTAAAAATTTACATACTGTTAATAAAAATTTTCAATTATTGTGTCAACAATTCATCAATGTATCCAAGTTTTGCAACAAAATTATATGCTAAAGATACACAATTTACGGACATTGTGTTCAACATCTGTTTCCAATTGATTTAACAGAATTAGGTAAAATAATGACAACATTTACAGACATTGTGTCCCACAAATGTCCTTTATCCTAAAAGACACAATTTACAGATGTCCCTATATGTATCTTTTGATACAAACTAATCATATACTAAAAAGACACAATTTACAGACATTGTGTCCCCATATTTTTCTCTTGATACAAACCAAACATATACTTAAAAGACACAATTTACAAACATTGTGTCCCCATATGTATCTACTTGATACAAACCAATCATTTACTAAAAAGACACAATTTACAGACATTGTGTCCCACCAATGTATCTACTTGATACAAACCAATCATATATACTAAAAGACATAATTTACAGACATTGTGTCCCACCAATGTATCTACTTGATACAAACCAATCATATACTAAAAAGACACAATTTACTGACATTGTGTCCCAGCAATGTATCTACTTGATTCAAACCAATCATATACAGTACTAAAGACACAATTTACTGACATTGTGTTCCACCAATGTATCTACTTGATACAAACTAATCATATACTAAAAGACACAATTTACTGACATTGTGTCCCACCAATGTATCTACTTGATACAAACCAATCATATACTAAAAGACATAATTTACAGACATTGTGTCCCACCAATGTATCTACTTGATACAAACCAATCATATACTAAAAGGCACAATTTACAGACATTGTGGATAAGTGCTCTTCTATAAGTTTTTTGTGAGGAGTCAGATAATATGTTGTTAAAAATTAGATTTTAGGGTTTCTGCAGCTTGGCAAATCTGGTAGATTGGGAACTGGTTTGGGAACAGTGTCTGCCCATGGTGCTAACCGATGAAATTTCTGTACCTGTTGACGAGAAAGTGCATCTGCCAATACATTTTTTGAACCATATATGTGTTTTGCCTTAAAGTTCACATTCTTTCTCAAGCAGTGTAGAACTAGTCTCCTTATTAGAAACATAATCAACGCATCTTTAGATGTTTGTTTGTTAATTATAGACACTAAAGCTATATTGTCTGTATGAAAATTTATGCACTGGTTTTGGAATTGGTAGCCCCATATTTCGACTGCCAAGACTATGGGATAAAGCTCTAAAAAGTCAATATTTTGTTTTTGCCATTTTGTGTCCCATTTGCCTGAGAACAACTGTGAACCAAACAAAGCACCATAACCGTATGTACCAGAGGCATCTGTAAACAAATGTAACTGATCAGACGTTAACCAACGGTCTGATAAAATCAATGACTTCCCATTAAAGTTAACTGATTTTGTCATACGTATTCTTTGAAAGGATTTTTTTACCCCAATTGTTAAGTCTATTAGTCTTCTCAGGAATGCCCTTCCTGGTATGACAACCACACAAGCAAAGTTGAGTGTACCAATGATAGACTGAAGTTCCCTCAATGTAATTTTTTCTTTTTGTAACACTACATTTATAAGATCGTGACATTTCACAAGCTTATCGATGGGAAGTCTAACTTCCATCAACCTAGTGTCTATTTCAAAACTCATGACCTGCGATGGCTGGAATGTTTTTTTCCTTTGAAATTGGTATACCCATATCATTGCAAATCGCAAGAAAACGTTCTAATTTTTTCTTACATCCATCTTCAGTTTTGTCAACAACCATGAAGTCCTCTAAAATATGAACAATGTTTGGAATCACTATTTTATTTTTGGCGATCCATTCAAGTGTTGTTCTAAAAATTCTCAAAAATTTGACAACTGGAACTACAACCCATTTGCAAATTTTATCTTAATAGTAATTCCCATCCCACATGAAACCAAACCGGTTATATTGTGATTCTTTTATGTTTATGATTCTAAATGCACTGGATATATCAGTTTTTGCACAAAAAATATTTCTTCCTACGATCTTAATCAGTTATATTGCATCTTGAATGGAAGCGTACTGTACGTTGCATTTGTCTTGTGGTATGCTGTCATTGATTGATGACCCTTCAGGGAAAGATAAGTGGTGGATCATTCTTTATGTCCCTGGCAGTTTCTTTTTTGCTAGGCCAAGAGGGGATAATTGCATTTCCGTGAAAGGTTTTGAATTTGAATCAAAAGGGCCAACAAATCTATTTGCACTAATTTCATTTTGAATTTTTCGTCTTACGATATCTGGTTTAGTCTTTGCTGATAACAAGTTATCGACTGTATTATCATGAACAGAACCTCTGAATCCCACGTTAAACCCATATTTGAACCACTTAACTAAGTATTTGTACATTTTAATATTATGTCCTTTTAACCAATTTGAAAGCCTGTCAACCTTAACTGGTGTACTGCAATTAGAATTATAGTTAACTTCATTTTCTGGTGGTGACAGTCTTTTCTGTCCTTGGGGAAGAGGCATCGTCTCTGTTACTAGATAGGGAGGGTATTCTGTTTTCGACTCGAAAGGGCTGGTTTTTCCCGCCTTGTATCTTTTATGAGTTATTACTGGTTTGGTGAACTTATAAGGAAGACGAACTGGGTTTTTGCATGTAGAGAATGAGTGGTTGAAGCCACAATTGAAACATCTGTGTTGAAACTTGCATTTTTCACCAAACTTACAACCTAAACCCTTATGAAATGAAAAGCATACTCAAATTGGCCAGCGAGTATTGCCGCTTTTGTTTGTTTTGTCAGTCCCAGATTTAACATTTACTTGCAATTTTGCTATGAGATATAGCTTTAGGTGTGTACAACCCCATTGTGCTTCTCCTCTTTCTAATAATTTCCTGAATTCGATATCATAATATTGCCAGTTCCCTCCTTCTCTTGACATTTCCAGAATAATTTCCATATGGTGGGGAATGACATACCCTAATTCAGGGTTTTTTGTACATACCGCAGTAAATTTATTCTAGGCTGATGGCCACTGGTTAAGGGTTAATGTTCTCTTGTTTCTCTCTTCTGTAATTGACAATTCGGGGTTGTCAGCGCCTTGAACAAGTTGTAATTTATATTTAATGTGGGAATTTAAGTCAATGTATCTTCCCGCCCATATTTGTTATTTTATCTTATCAGGGATGTTGCCCCCTGTTTTGAGATAGCAACTGACAAATGCTTTGGTTTCTGAACTGTTGGTTGTACAGCCAGAACCTCTGGGCTCACAACTTCATTTGTAGTGTCATGATTTTGATCTTCATTACCTTGAATGTTTCTATTTAGGGAGTCAACATGATGCTGAACTTCAGCCTCCTGAACACACGATTTGCCAGTATTTCCTTGGGAAGTCATTTTATTAAATATTTCTTCAATTCTCTTTTCCATCTGGCTGGCGACTCTTTCTGTGACTCTGTTGGTCAGATCCTCCATGTCATCTGGAGACATAACTGCTGGGGTATTTGGTGGAGTGGAAGGCCTACTCAGGCTAGCTGTGTGTATTTTCCTCCTCTGGGTGGCATTCTTTATTTTTTTAATGGCGCCTGCCACTCCAGATGATGATTTTCTTTTTGCAGGCTTTGTCTGAAATATACTAACGCAAACTTTATACAATATTTTTGATAGTTCAATCATTATATCAAAAAGAAAATTTTTAAGGCCTTTTTTATTTTTATTTAATTAGTCTATTTATTTTTCTTTGGATTTAAGGTTTGATAATTCATGTTAACCTGCTTGTTTGAATAATTTAAGCTGGACGATCCTCAATCATTAATATTGTGTGTTTGTGTCCGTTTTTTTATCAATCATCTGAAAATTGCAAGGTTCCGCCATAATAATTTACCTTTCGGTGGCCATATATTATGTACCGGAAGTTTTCCAAAGATTACAAAATGTACGTGTACGGTTCGGATACGTGGTAATTTCCGTTTTCTAATTTAATTTCTTTGCAGGCATTTATAACTGGCCCTCGTATTGACTTGTACAAGTGGTATTGACCTTTCGTATTTAGATGTACTCCATCGGAAATAAATTTATCTTTGCATGAGTTTTTGTTTGTGGTGTCGAAGGAAAATCTTTTGTTATGGTCCCAAAAGATAAATTTCGATGATTTTTCAACCTCGTCTTTTATCATTTTATTTATTTCTTGTGCCTTTTCGTAAAACATATTCTTGTAAACCCTATCTCGGAAACTTATATTATCCCGATTGTATCCATATTTCTTAAATCTGAAATTAGCCCGTGGGAAGTGTGGCATGAGGGAACATATTACTACTCGTCGAACGCCATACGTGTTTGTCAGGAGCGAACAGAAACTTATCAATTGATACGCCACTTCCTCAACAGACGTGTTCTCTGCAACATCGTTACAACCAGCTAGGAGAATGACACATTCGGGTTTTTTAAGTTTAACTATGACCATGTCGAACTTTATCATTTTATGAATAGTTCTTCCTCCTATGCCATGCCACTCCACAGTTGAAGTATTTGCCAAATTGAAGTTTAATTGGTGTCTATGATCGTTTCCTGATTGCAGGTGGTTGTGAAGCCGTTGGCAAATGGAATGACCTAGTATAAGTGTGTGTAAAGACATGGCTAGATTAAATTTTTTATGAAATTGAGTGTCACCAACTTTCTGTACGTTCTTCCTTCATCAGCTATTTCAAAAAGAGACTGCATATTAAAACATGTGCTTGAAGTAGCGTTCCCATATCAATTACAAAATTCCTAAAAGTTTCATGTGAGATATATACCTATGTACAAACCTATTTTCTACATATTTCAAAAATTTACAAACATGATATCAAAAGACTGACAAATAAAAGTTACAATATTTCATTGTACCATAAAGTCACTTATGCTGCACATAAGTGTATTTATTACAGATATACATATATGGAAGTGTACAAAATTAAGATGAAATTCATGCAAACCATAGAATTGTTGGAGATTTTGCCATGGCCTAGGCCGTTATATTCGAATTTCATCCGAGCGCAAGCGTAGGATAAAATTAAGTAATATATTTGCCCAAGCCATGTGAAAATGATAACAAATCTATGACATGCATGAATTATTTCGATTCTCATTGGACATATAATTTAGAAAACTGAAGCGAAGATAAATATGTCGTGTATGTAATCCGTGTAGGAAAAAACAAAATATTTCCAATAAATATATGGCTTGCATAAATTATTTCTTAAATAACATCTAGAAAAAAGTGTTTATGCTAATAAATCTCAACCCAAACATTTGCAATTTTTTATGTACAATTTTTTTTTCGTTGGCTACTATTTACCGTAAAATCAAGTTGACAAGTCGTTACTAAGGAGTGAATATAAAAATAAGAAGATGTGGTATAATTGCCAATGAGACAACCCTCCGACACAGACCAAATGATATAGAAGTCATCAACTATAGGAGTGAGCTGTCATGTTCACTTACTGAAATCCATAAATGTGAGAATAATGCAAAAGAATCGAAAATAAAACAACTTACATCAAAACTCTATTTTGATGAAATTTCATCAGAATTTAAAGCTTAAAAGTAACGAAATAACCTTCAGCTTGAGAGTTTTATACGTATGATGTAATGTTTCGACATGCTGTTAACGTGCCAAGAGAATTTATAGAATTTCGCGAAATTTTATTTAATTTAATTTTTTTACATTTATCCATTGGCAAGCTCTAGTGCATGTTTTTTTTTCTTTCTTATTATACATTAGAATAGATAAAACAGTTCTTGCACATACATTGGCTAGCACTGTTTCTCAGTTTTTGTTTGACTTGTTTTATCCGAATCGACTTACGAGATTAATCGGTTATCTACAATCGCCCTAATTTCTAACCAAGGTAGTTTGGAGTCTAGTAAAAACGCATGTATTGCTTCAAGTCAAACACCAAGTAAACCAAGTAAACCCTGGTTACAATAGCCATTCCAAGACAGGCACAGGTGCGAAATATAATGCCGACGATAGATTCTCAACTCACAAATTTCCTTATCCGTATGGATTCTGCCTCATGTGAGTACAAACGTAGGGTGCACAATTAGTACCCATTGGAATACCGACTGTCTGTTGAAATATCAATCAAGCAAACTCAACACATATGTCGCCGATTAAAATTTCAAGCATTTTGATGACATCATCTTCGGTGTTTTTGTTGTTAAGATCAGTGTGGTTCTTTCAATTTAGAATATGATATAGTAGCGTTAAGTGTCGCAAAATAAAACGCTTTGATATAACTGCAAAATTTGTAATTTTTTTTTATTTGGAGTAGATCTTTATAATTTTAAGAATCCACATAGTCATGTTCCCGAAAACATCCCTCATATATTTAAACCAATTGAAACAGACATTCCAGTAAAAATAAAAGATGAAATTTGGCGGGTTGTGTTCATTTATTCAGGCACTTATAACGGTTAGGTTGTGTATGCATATGACGAATACTATCGACTTAAAAGAGCGCTATTTAATTAGTGTACAATTAGTACCCATTGGAATACCGACTGTCTGTTGAAATATCAATCAAGCAAACTCAACACATATGTCGCCGATTAAAATTTCAAGCATTTTGATGACATCATCTTCGGTGTTTTTGTTGTTAAGATCAGTGTGGTTCTTTCAATTTAGAATATGATATAGTAGCGTTAAGTGTCGCAAAATAAAACGCTTTGATATAACTGCAAAATTGTAATTTTTTTTTATTTGGAGTAGATCTTTATAATTTTTAAGAATACACATAGTCATGTTCCCGAAAACATCCCTCATATATTTAAACCAATTGAGACAGACATTCCAGTAAAAATAAAAGATGAAATTTGGCGGGTTGTGTTCATTTATTCAGGCACTTATAACGGTTAGGTTGTGTATGCATATGACGAATACTATCGACTTAAAAGAGCGCTATTTAACTTTTCCTGGCGTTCATAAATCAAGAGTTGTGGGATTTGTGCGGAGTTACAGATTACATCAATCAATTATCATCAGTTGTCATGAGCAATAATTTTCGTCAGAATTGAATTATCAAGATCGTATAGTTTTTGGATATTAATCCTATAAACATTCAAGTGTGATTAGTTCACCAAATCAGAGTAATTTTCGAGGTCCAAGTTGACTCGGATATCAAAATTGTCCAAAACGTTGTAGATTCAAGAAGTACCGTTGCATTTTTGTCCAAAAAATGAAATTCGAACATGAATGATAAAAATGTTACACTACACACCCATTCTCCAGATGTAGACATTATGAAACAGATTTATATAAGCTAGGAATTTTACCCATGAACGTTTGTGGGGTAGCAAAAATAGTTGTTGAATAACCCTGATAAAATGATTGCCTATGGATTTATTCAGGGCTAAGGCTTTGGATTTTGACTTGTACATGCCGAAACCAGATATCTTTCGACTGGTAGAAATTCTGAAAGTGTTTAAAAGAACCCAGGGGCGGTTAAGAAAAAGTTAGATAAAGAAATATTGAGCTTTAGTTTATTGCAGGTACCTTTCAACACCCACTTTCCCTACAATTTGCGTTTCCTTTTTGCACGTATACCTAAAAGAACCAAAGGAGAACTCCGTTCAGTTTTAAATATTTCATTCCCATCTTATACCGAATGATTTCATCTGCAGACAATTTTGCTCTGAGCGTAATGCAGCTATGACGATGCCGTCTATGCAATACAATAACGAAGATATCGCAGTTTGCCAGCAAAAACGGATGTTCATATGTACACAAGAAGATGTGGTATTATTGATAATGAAACAACTTTCCACCAGAGACCAAATGACGTAAAAGTAAGCAACTGAATGTCACCGTAAGGCCTTCAACAATAGCAAAACCAATGCCGCAAAGTAAGCCATCAAAGGCACCGACCTGATAAATGAAAAACAATTCAATCAAGAAAACTAGCAGTCTGATCTGCTACTAAAGATGCGCAAATGCCCATAGGAATACCTACAACATGTCGATACACTTTATTGTCGAAATGTATATAGATCTTGTCTAGGAGAAAATGTACAGTTTTAATAAGCTGGTTCAAGACGCACAATTCATTTCAGGTAGGCGCTAAGTGTAGCCTTTTCCTCAATTCTTCTGCCTACATATAGTATACTCCGATATGCATGTTTCGCAGCTGAGACTTTTTCACATATGTAGTTATATTTTCGGGATACGAAGTGAGATTAATTTTTACGTAATTAAGCATATTCTGCAATCTCCTTTGTAATGCGGTTTCTCGGGGGGTAAACATACCCCTTTTCACACAATAAGTAATTTGCATACATGTAATACCTCTATCGTTTTTACGCCTTTATTCCATGGTCCTCTGCTTATCAAATCAGCACAAATGGTTGAGCTCAGTCACTTTCTAGAAATTAAACATGTCCAATATCACTGCACAGAGATTTTTGTTTACGTGCTATAATATCCTTTTGCGTGGCTCGTTATTTACACACCCCGCCATTGTGTTATTGTGTTATG